GCCCCACGCACGCAGGGCTCGCACGGCCGTCCTTGAAGCCAACATATGATGAGAGAGAGAGAGAGAGAGCGAGAGAGAAAGGAAGGGGGAGAGGGGGAAACAGAGGTTGCCATGTGCCCCAAGAGAGGCCCCCCGGCGCATGCGCCCTCCACGCCCACAAATAGATCCCCACACTCGGCCCCCGGGGCCCGGCCAAGCGAGGGAGCGCATACACAAGGAGACCGCACCCAGTGGGGCGCAATGAGTGCCGACCGAAGAAAGACTCACCCACCAGCGCCGGCCGTTCGTTGGCTGTTGAGTTCACATTATCAAATCCCATAAATCCACTTTTCCCTTGTCGGCGTTATTCATCGAAGTCGTCGCATGATGTGCGGCAGCCACGTTCTTAACTCACTTCCCGCCATCATTAACACCAGCCAGATGCGAGGCGACCGTGCAGCCGTGCGCCCCCCGGCGCAGGGCCCTTCCCCGCGCACCGTGCCCCTTGATCGCGCACGCGGCCCCATGGGCCCGAGAAACCTCTCGCCGAGAGATGCCCCCTCTCTTGCGTCCCCTCGCCACGGCCAAAACGGAGGTGGGCCGCCCGGGATGGCGGACGGCCCCCGCCCCCCTTCGCGCCAGGACAACCGCATGCTCTCGTGCATGCAGCCTGCCTTCTTCGCCGTTGTTCCCTCGCTCGCCCCCAACTCCTGCTCCCGCCTCCTGCTGCTCCCACGGTCAGCGGCGCGCACCACGGACCTCGTGGGCCCGGCAGTGCGGCGCAGCATGGCGGATGCTGGCCGCGAGCGCCGCCCCCCGCTCGCCTGGCCCCGCGCGGCCGACTGTCGGCCCCTCCGACAAGCGAAGGCGCAGCATCGGCCTTCGCCGCAGGACGATCCACCCTCCGCCGGCACACGGCCACCGGAAACACGGCTCCCTTTTTTCTTCGCCCTCCCCCAGCGCGGAGCAGCCTCTCCCGGGCGCCGAGAAGCGCCCCCTCTGTCTTTGGCAATTCCGGAAGGGGAGCCCCCACACAGTGCGCGCGCGTGTGTCAAGTGCGCCCGGCACCCGGTCATGGGGCTTCTTTATTGGTCCGCCCTCCGGATGGTCGCCGCGCGCAGCATCGGCCATGGACACGATAGTGTGCGTGCGCGCGGCGCGCGTCTGGCGCATGGATGCCCCCGAAGTGGCGTGCGTCTACAGGTTCCCTTCTCGCCGCCAGCGAGTCCGCCACATCGCGCGGAACCTTGTGCCCCGGCCGGGCGGTTATGGCCATAACCATAACCGGCACAGCCAGCACAGAGCCGATGCCTCGCCGCCTGCTCGCCCAACTCATCCGGCTATGGGAGCTCGCGCGTATGCCGCGCACCATAGCCCCATCATCCCCAACCGGGCCCCCTCACCATCGACCCATGTGCGCGAGGGGGAAGAGCCCACAGCCGCACTCATACCAGGGCGCGGGCGGGAGATGGCCTGCGCGCATGCCACCACCGAGCGAGATGCCGACCATCGGCCCGAGGGCAAGGGGGAGAACGGCAGCCGGCAGGACGCAAGACACAAGGCATGAGATGCTTGGCAACGCACAGCCACGCGCCAACGGCACCTTGGACGTCGGGATGTCCCTTGGACCGCGGGCGAGACGCATTGCGCCATAACCGCCCCCCTCGCCTCCGGCCGCAGCCGCCTCACGCGACGCACCTGCACATGGTGCAACCTCCTCCTCCGGCCACCAGCCGGGCGGATGCCCAAATGCACTCAGGTACCCATATTGCGGCCACACACACACACACACGCACACAGCCTGCCCCCTCCGCATGTGTCCATGCATCCGCCCGCGCCCGGGGGGGGGGAGAATGTCCTGCTAGCACACCGGTGTCCCCACCGGACGTGCCGCTTGTGTGCCCCTGCAACGCCCAGACACAGCACGCAAGACCACATAGCCCCACAGCCATAAAGCTTTTTTATCTCGACTCAAGGCAGATATAGGGCCGGGCGCAGTAGACATGATGTGTCGTCAGGTCATCGACAGAAGCACATAATTCGCGGATAGATACGCCGGGATGTGCCATCATCGCCTGCTCCACTTGAAAGGCCCGCGAGGCCGGGTGCCGCATGCATTCCGGGGCCACAAACACGAGGTCCTGTCGAGCAGCGTGCGCTTGCAGCGAATTCACCACCTGCGGCAGGGCGCAGCCCAG